TTCAATGTTATTTTTTCATTTTCCCCGCAACATAAAAACGAATTGATTAAGTACTTAAGTCGTGGACGTTTTTCTGCTCTCTCATGGCATCGGCGTCAAACGGTATTGCGATGTCCCTGTAAACGAATACTCTGACCCTACCTTGCATGCGGAATTTTTTGTTCTTTGTTTGTTCTTTGTTTGTTGTTTTATGCACTTAGGAACAATCTCGTTTAAATCTTTTATTCTGATACGATACCTCTCTGCGTGAAGATCTGAGGACCATATAAGGTCACATCTGAAGGGAATACGCTTTGACGTATCCGCTGTGTAGCCGTGTACCCTAGGCAGACATATGGAGATTGGGATGCGAAGTGATTGTTTGTCGCCAGAGAGCCAGATTACAAATGTGTTTATGTTGAGGCTCTGTGCATCACGTTGGCTGGTTGGTTGGTTTGTTGTTTAAAGCCGCACTCAGATATATTCCAGTTATATGACGGCGGTCTGTAAATAATCGAGTGTAGACCAGACAATCCAGTGATAGATATCATGAGCATCGACCCACGCAATTGGAATCGATGACATGCATGAACCAAGTCAGCGTGCCTGACCACCTGATCCCGTTAGTCGCCTCCTACGAGATAGTCGCCTTTTACGGCAAGCATGGGTTGCTGAAGACCTATTCTACCCCTGATCTTCACGGGTCCTGTGCATCACATACATGTCATTATTTATTACGTGAAGAGTGGGGGCGGGGCAGTCGTCTAAGAAGCCGCAATTCGCCGTGCAGAGTTGCGTCCCTTGGGCACGCCAGAAACCTATGATTGTGGGTTCGAATCCCGGTTCACCCCGATTATGTTTCTCGGTTTGACAACACCATACCTGTGCTCGTGGTTTCACCGAAGTGGTAAACGTCTGAGAACTGTATCACTTCGGGCTTTCCTCCCACATTATGCTGACACGCCGTGATATAACTGGAATACTGTTAAAAGCTGCGTTAAACCCAACTCACTAACTATTACGTGAATTGAGCTTCAAATGCAACAATTAAAAAGATAGCACAGAGACTGGCAAAACGTCTGTTGCCAAGCTGTAGCCTGTTACATGGAAATGTTTATACCAGAACGCTCTCTGTCAAATTATCCTGAACCTGCTTTTATTTCTCTTCTTTCTTCAAAAGATGATTTTGTCATATTAAAACTGGCTATATATGGTTAAAATGCAATTTCTCTCAGAAAGAAATTGTTAAACATGAGTATATATCCAAATATGTAAAACTACTTATTTGTAAATCTCTTGTATATGGGCCGGATGCCTTACATACAATAAATATCTTTGACTTTGACTTGACGCACGATCATAATAAAGTCAGAATCGTGCAATCGACGCAGTTTTGGGCAGACATTTCTTATGAATATGGGAAAGGTTTTGTCGCTTTTATTAGGTCCTACTCCTGACGTATTGGTTTCAAAATACTATGGGTTACTTTCATAGATCATGATATCTTGGTCGGGAACCTTACAACAGGAGGGTTCTAGCTATGATGCCAACATACAAATATTTCTTTGAGGGGTTTTCAGAAGGTTTAGCCGGATATACACAAGATGGTCCTGTGATGGTTTTCAGAAGGTTTAGCCGGATATACACAAGATGGTCCTATGATGTTTTTCAGAAGGTCCAGCCGGATATACACAAGATGGTCCTATGATGGTTTTCAGAAAGTTTAGCCGGATATACACAAGATGGTCCTATGATGGTTTTCAGAAGGTTCAGCCGGATGTAAACAAGATGGTCCTATGATGAGTTTCAGAAGGTTTAGCCGGATGTACACAAGATGGTCCTATGATGGTTTTCAGCAGAATAACCAGAATGGCTTCCAGCAGGTTTTCAAGCAGTATTTCAACCAACGTTTCGGAAGGGTTTCCGTCATTTTTCCATCATTGTTTCCATCAGTTTCTTAGAGGGTTCCAAAAGTATTTCTACAAAAGGTAGCAGAAGGGTTTCCGTCATCGTTCCAGCATTATTTCCAGAAATGTCTAAAGGTTTCTGGGGCACCGTGATTCGCTGTGCAGAGTTGCGCCCCTTGGGCACGCCAGAAACCTATGATTGTGGGTTCGAATCCCGGTTTGCCCCGATTATGTTTCTAGGTTTGTCAGCACTATACCCGTGCTCGTGGTTTCACCGAAGTGGTAAACGTATGAGATCTGCATCACTTCGGGCTTTCCTCCCACATTAAGCTGACACGCCGCGATATAACAGTAATAAATAACAACTCACTCACGCACTCCAGAAACCAAGTGCTTAAACAGTTTAAAAAAACTATCATCGAAATTACAATTTTAACAAAGAATACTGTTTTCGAACACAAGTGGGTCGTCCACAGTGTGTTAGTATTAATCCAACAGAGGGTGTCAATCTGCTCCGTAAACACCAGCCCCACCGCGGATTGTGATGCGTGGGTCTCACGCAATCCCGCCATGACACTTTCTTAAATCACTGCTCTCTTACTTCAGAAGGAACCTCGCACATGCTATTTATGTGGTTTAATGGAGGTTTACATCCATCATAGTGTTTATTGGTTATTTTTCGATTGACGTATTTTTTCTTCAGCCTTTTCGCTGCAATTATTCCGGTGTGACGTGATCCAGATATAATCAATCTCCTGGTTAAACTTCCCCGTTCTACCATATTTTTCATAAGGAAAATTAACTTGCTATTTCCAGCGTTTAAGAAGAAAATAAATCGACATGAAATGAGTGAACACTTTCAAGAATAATCAAATACATAAATCTGTTTTGAGGTAGTTTTTGTCGGACTGTAGGCTGACTGATCAGAAAACAAGCAAATTATCCATTTTAATTAAATATAACTCATATTGTAATATCCAGTCGTGCCTTAACATGTCCATCACCGGTATCTTACATCCGTGGGGATTCTGGGTTAGAGTGAGTGAGTGAGTATGTTTTTTACGCCGCTTTTAGCAATAGTTCAGCAATAATACGTCGGGGGACACCGGAAAATGGGCTTGACACATTGTACCCATGTGGGGAACCGAACCCGGGTCGTCAGCGTGACGAGCTAAAGTTTTAACCTCTTGGCTCCCCACCGCCCCTTTCTGGGTTAGAGTGAGTGAGTGAGTGAGTGAGTATGGTTTAAGGCCGCTTTTAGCAATATTCCAGCAATATCACGTCGGGGGACATCAGAAACGGGCTTCACACATGGTACCCATGTGGCGAATCGAACCCGGGTCGTCGGCGTGACGAGCCAAAGCTTTAACTACTTGGCTCCCCACCGCCCCGTTTTGGGTTAGAATTCGTCACGACTAGCCTATGCTCGATGACTTGGTAGATTGTGTGTCATCGTACTCCGACGGCGTGGGAAGTTGGTCATGATGTCAAAAGCTGGATTGTCTGGTCCAGACTCGATTATTGACAGGCCTGCGTCACATAGATGAAATATTGCTGACTGCGGCAATCAAACAAGCGTGGGTATCTAAAGGACGTTTACCACTTATTTCGACAATCATCTATGTTATTTATAAATCATGTAACTTCGATTTATATTTTTACCTCGAAGTCATCTTCAAACAAAAAAACTCTCTATTGACATAAACATATTAAATATGTTTTATTGAAATCTATGTATGTTCGACATTTTAATTATTTGTTTTCATATCTGAAACATAAATATTTCAAACTTCTTTCATGTTTATTTTTACAATCCACTGATTAATGCCTAAAAAGGTCTTGCAAGTGAATCATATTTTAACATCGCATTTAGACAGTTTCATAGAAGTGTCTCACACTAGTTAAAATAACATTCACAGAATGAAAGGGGGCGGTCGGTTAGCCTAGTGGTTAAAGCGTTCGCTCGTCTCCAAGGCCAGAGAATAATCAGTCTCGATTATCCGACCAAACAGATTTCAATGGCCGTAAAAGGAAATTTAGCGGTGAAATTTATATGAACTATATGATCACAGCAGTAATCGCGAAAAAGGAAAGCAGTCCAGTGGGTGTAAAAGGAAAAATTGCAGTGAAAATTATGTGAATTGAAAATCAGTGATGACATCAGGTGTTTGCCCAAGAGTGAGCATGGCCTGCACCACCGGTTGCACTCAAGCAGTTCTTGTTATGTGGCAAACGTCATATGTTTAAGGGGCGGTCGGTTAGCTTAGTGGTTAAAGCGTTCGCTCGTCACGCTGAAGACCCGGGTTCGATTCCCGACATGGGTACAATGTGTGAAGCCCATTTCTGGTGTCCTCCGCCCAGATGGTGCTTTAATATTGCTAAATGCGGCGTAAAACCATACTCACTCACTCACAGAATAAAAGGGTAATGTTATTTCCTGCCCCGTCAGCAATTTTTCAGCCTTATTTCGTTCCAGGGGACCACCAGAGGTGGTACATGAGCAATACAATTACTTAAAAATTATATGTATAACTTATGACACAGCAAGATGGCAAGTCCATAAACACAATGGATCTATCTTCAATTAAAATCAGGAATACGATAAACTTTGATAATGTTTCATTGATAACAGATATACATGTACGTTTGGTGTTCATTAGTTTTGAAAACTTAAAGATGGTTGGCCAGTCGTACTTGTTTTACCAGCGATTTACACCGTAATGAAACAGCCAGGTCACACACTGGGGTGATCTCCATTATGAAGGTGTTCGTGACCTACTCGGACCCAGAAGCCCACTTGGTCATATTCAAATACAAAGACAAACATTTGCAAACACTTACGACCCGTGGAGATCCGGGACAGAATAGGTCTTCAGCAACTAGTGATTGCCGTAAAAGGCGACTATACTTGTCGTAAAAGGCGACTAACGGGATCGGGTGGTCAGGCTCGCTTACTTGGTTGATGCATGTCATCGTATCCCAATTGCGTGGATCGATGCTCATGACGTCAATCACTGGATTGTCTCGTCCATTTACAGACCGCCGTCATATAGCTGGACTATGGCGTTAAACAACAAAGAAACAAAGAAACAAATATACAAATCAAACACTTACACAATGTTTACCCCGCTGGAAGTTAATGTGTGGATATCCAGTTTTTCCTTGGAACGCCCTGTACCAGGTACAACCACTGTGTCATTGGGATACATGCATGACGTAATCTTCACATCTGATGACGTAGGCAGAAAGTGTGCACCATCTTCTGTCATTATCCACATGCGTTCAACTCTCGGACAGCGTCGAATCACAACTGCAATGGAGACACAAAGAAGGTGAGTGAGTGCGTTTATATCTCGTTTCAACAACAGTCATGCAATTACACGAAAGGGGACTCCAAGAATTGGTGTAACACATTGTACCTATGTTAGGGTCTTTGGCATTGCGACCGAACATCGAGAGCAACTGGACATGTACTGTCGCGAATTACGGAATATCTAGAAATATAAATGAGTGAGTTAGTGAGTATGGTTTAACGCCGCTTTTAACAGTATTCCATTGTCAGCTTAACGTGGGAGGAAAGCCTTAAGTGATGCAGGTCTCAGACGTTTACCACTTCGTTGAAACCCACGAGCACGGGTATGGTACTGACAAACCTAGAAACATAATCGGGGCGAACCGGGATGCGGACCCACAATCATAGGTTTCTGGCGTGCCCAAGGGTCGCAACTCTGCACAGCTAATCGCGGCTCCTTAGACGACTGGGCCACCCGTGCCCCAAGAAATATAAATGAAGCTTTCGGAGTTATATTTATTATATACTTCAGTGGGAAAGACTGTCTTTTCCGAAGTTGAGAACAGTGATATTGTCATTGCAGTGAACATAACACTTCGACGGAACTTTTGTTACCTCCCCTCAAATTGTCTCCCTTTTATCGTAAGTGCCCGGCCCGTCCCCGAACTGTTGACTTCCTTTTTACGTTAGTTCCACATTGACAAGACAAAATTATGACACATGGTCATTTATGGAGTTAATTTAGCTTCATGACTTTTGTTATTCTCTTGAAAATGTTTCGTTATAAACAGTAAATTTCTAATTCAAATCGTCAATCGAGACTGTTCGTTTCGCAAAGCGCCATTTTTGTTCCCTGAGCAGCGTGTTTTCTTTCGCGTCAAACAGCGGTCTCGTAGTTTTCAAGAATACTTTTTGTTGTGGTAGATTTTGTATATAAGCATATGTATATGTATCATAAAGTTTCGTGAATCTCAACAGTTTTTGTTTATACCTTTAAGATTTTGCAAACATGAAACTACTACTTTTGTCGCAGATACAAGGGGTGGTGACCCGTCCCTGTGTGTTAGTTAGGGAGAATTTACATTTCCTGGTGTTACATTTGTAATGAAATAATTTAATTTTCCTATAGACTACACAAAAAGTATATAATAAAAAGGACATTCCATGTGTCTCGTGAAATATCATATTTCTCTCATCTCGTGACGGGGGAAAAGGAGATATTTCACTCGACACGTGAAATATCCTCTATATATTATTCGTTGTCATGAAAAAGCGCATGAAATATCAACCTGCCAACCTATTGTTCATCTGACGTAATGTTATCAATAATGACATCATGAAGAATGGATGACGTCATATATATTATGTTGTTCTGAAGAATGAATCAACGTGATGTAATATCGCCTCACCCGACAAATCATCATTGACAATCGCTAACATAATTAATATGCAATTATTGATTTTAACACGAGCTCCTTTCTACCCTTATGGATAATATTATATAATGACTGCTGATGCGATCTTAAAGGGGGCTGAGGTCTTTTACAAACGGAACAGGGCCCATATGCACAAAGTAAACTTAGAGCTATGACTGCCATAAATCAGTGTTAGGAATTAATCGTGTTAACGCTTAAGTTGGCCCAGGATTACACTTGACAGGCTGTCCAATGCAACGCGCTCTATCGTATTCAAACTCGATAATTTAATATATGCTATGTTTACTTATAACCATATGTTTTACAGGAGACCAATCACACAGTTCTTTAAATGCGTAAGTCCCCAGAGAATATTATATAAGCCAGCTTTAAACTGTGTCCAATCACTCACATCCTCGCTGATTACATTTTCATGTAAGATTTAAATTTAAAAAACCCTAACACATGCCAATTGACAAGACAGGTAAAAAGATGGGAGCACAATAACACCAGTAAAACAGAGAAAAAACCCAAACCTTTCAACGTCACAAACGATACCAATACGTAACAGTATTGTCTCAAGACACTTAAGTCTCTGTCTTTAGTTCGTAGACGCACGTCGACGATTTAACAAGATAGACTTAATCGTATTGAGGTCCAGTGCATCCAGGAAATCGTACAGTGTAGATATATCACCGTGATGACACAGCGCAGAGTGGCGAAAATACCAGTTTTACGACTTCTGGTGCTGTGATAAATGGTTTTGTATTCCCTGACGTGTGTCTAGCACAACTAGGTGACGTAAATCTTGCTGACATCAGACTGACCTCAGCCAAGGCGGAAATTAGTTGATGATGCCAGTCATAGTGTAGCCATATGTTGGATGTTGATTAAATCGTGTAAGCGGAGTGCATTATGGCTACATCATCTAACTTCCGTTCATTTTATCATGACCGACTCCGTGGTCTAGTGGTAGAGCGTCCGCCCGGAGAGCGGAAGGTCCGGGGTTCGATCTCCGACCGCGTCATACCAAAAGACGTTAAAAGATGATACTTGTTGTTATCCTGTCTGGCGCTCGGCATTAAGGGGCTAAAACAAGGACTTGTCGGCTCGGAGTCAGTATACTGTGTCTGAGTGGGGTATTCAGGTTAAACTGCGGCATGGTATCTCAGTGAGCTAGCACTATAAATCGGCATCAGTCCGGACTAGTACAAGCAACCACACAAACACACACACGTACATGCACGACGCTATATAAGTGCAATAATCTTGGACGCGACGTTAAACCTCATTTCACCTCACCTAATTTTATCATTGTTTTGTATATTTATTAAGCTGACGCACGCTGTCACATACCAGGTGTTCAGTTAACTGAACTTCATCAGCTGCCATGGTAACCAAGAGGGAAAACATTGAGTTACACTACAAAACATGATATACCTGGTTTCTGGTTCCATTCACATCATGAACGTTCATGTGGCAAAACTGTACCCGTAAAGATCCGGGGTAGAATAGGTCTTCAGCAACCCATGCTTGCCGTAAAAGGCGACTATGCTTGTCGTAAGAGCTGACCAAAGGGATCGGGTGGTTAGGCTCGCTGACTTGGTTGATGCATGTCATCGTATCCTGATTGCGTGGATCGATGCTCATGATATCAATCACTAGATTGTCTTGTCCAGACTCGATTATTTACAGAACGCCGTCATGTAGCTGAAATATTGCTGAGTGCGGCGTTAAACAACAAAGAAAGAAACAAACAAAATGTTTTTGAGCTGAATGTCCGACCACAAACGATGATTAATAAGAACTTGACCAGATTATTATGTCCATCCAACAGGTTTATGAGTAATAGCTGAACCAATAGCCAATTGGAGATTCGGTTTATTCGCTAACCAGATCGTGTTTACTAACGGGAACAAAGCGCTGATTTGAAGGACCTAAATTCTCTGCGTAGAGGCGCCTCAGCTTGTATAAATCCCAAACGTGTTTAGAACCTCGAAACGTGTTTAAATTATGGGAAAAGAGACGTGTGTAGATTACGGGGCAAGATACGTGTTCAGGTTTGGGTTTTCAACACACATAAACACATATTCTGACAGTAAACCAGTTTCAGAACATGAGAAGATATTAATCTTAAACATTTAAGTGCAATTCTGTATTTAGAATCAATAATGTTCATAAAATAGTTTTTCAAATTGGAATACGGACTCAAACTCCTTTTGCAGATTTAAGTTAGCTTCTGGTGCCAAAGAGTAATGCAAAGATCTTGGAAGACTCTGCCTCAGGCAATGCAGAAAGAGATGCATTAACTTCTCAAGGATCCCTTCACAGCAAAACATCCTCATCTTTGCTTAGAACGTACGAAACTAATCCTGCCATCATGCAGCCAACGGTACATGTGGGCAACAGGCGCCATGGAAACAGTCGCAAAACCAGCGAGAACATATCACTTGTCGTACATTCAGCTTTTCATTTTATCATAGGTAATTATATCGAAAGGAATTCTGAGTGAGTGAGTATGGTTTTACGCCGCTTTTAGGAATATTCCAGCAATATCACGGCGGGGGACACCAGAAACGGGCTTCACACATTGTACCCATGTCGGGAATCGAACCCGGATCTTCGGCGTGACGAGCGAACACTTTAACCACAAGACTACCCGACCGCCCCCTGAAACGAATTCTGAAATCAAATTGTATTACCACTTGTACAAAAAGATGTAACGGCACAAAACTAGTCATTTTATTTCAGAATGTATCACCTTACCCGTGGTAAGGTACTCAACACAGTGTCAAATAACTTCTTGTTATTGGATTCATGTGTGTGTGTGTGTAAATTACAATTAGCACATGGATCGCCCAGTTAATTACCCAGCACGATGCCAACCCATCCCTTCCTCAATAACCAGTGGTGCTTTGGAAAACAATGACGCTGTACCGTGAAAATTGGTCAGCTTTAACACAAAACCCAATAAAATGGCCTGGAAATGGCTAAAACAAGCGTGTTGCCATACCAGAATAAGTGGGATTCAATTTGCCTACGGGGGTTTAAAGAGCCACTGTGACCATTTTCCCAACGTCGCTACCACGAGGAAGAACCTGTCATCGACACACCAGGAACTGGGCATTGCAATAATGGCATGCTGGGCGGAGGACAGTCGCTGCATCGTCTGTGACGTCAGAGCAGCACCAGGGGACGTGATACCGTCCACGTTTACAATGTGGTTAATTTCCTTACTACCGGGCGTAGTGAGGGTAATTACTTGAATGAGGGGTAGGCTTGAGTGCCTACATGCTGTGACATTTGCATGAGCACATACCGATTGTTAGGGGCTTCTGTGTATGCATTCTGATCAGGATATGCACGTTTAGCTTAGGCACGAACTATTTAATATTTCAGTGTCTGGGTGTATGCATGTCTGGATTTAGTTTGAGACAGGATGTGTTTTCAGGCGGCGCTGCAAGATAAACATTTGTTTCTCTGAACTTTGGCGATAAACATTTTTTTTCTATGAAATGGTCGTCCCCTTAAGAGAACCAAGGTATTGTAAACAGAAATGAGTGTTTGTTCAGTAAAGTCAGATTATTGTTTGTTTGTTTGTTG